ACGAGAATGTGTGAAACTAGGCAGCAGGGTGATACAAGTAGGAAACCCTAGCAATGTTGTACCCCCTAAGGCTAAACCCACTATAGCCTACACAATATGAACATGTATAATGTTTGACACGCAGGGCTTCGGGCGCGCTTCGAGCCGATCGCGGCTTCTATTTCGGCGCGTCAGAGATTGCGCACTTGGCGGCAGCTCGGATCGGTTCAAGATTACACGAGCGGTTTTCTCGCACTTTGCGAGCAAGTCGGCTATATGCACGAAGCGGAGCGGGTGGACCGTTACGTCGGAGGGCTAAAACTAGACATCTCGCACGAAATCATGCTACGCGGGCTCTCGAATTTCAACGGGATTCTCGCGCTCGCCGAGAAAATCGACATCCTACATCGACCGAGACCGGGGTTCTACCACGGACATCGTCCTCGGGGACCGATCGAGCACGCCACTGTGAACGCCGTTGCGACAAATGCAGCTGCCACGCCATTTAAGGGGCGCTGCTTTGCTTGCAACAGGCCGGGCCATCGCAAGAGCGAATGCCCAGAGGAGCTAAGGCGCCGCGGAGCAGAGCAGGGGAGGGAGTCTCAGAGGCAGGGAAACGCCAGCAGTCAGTAGAAGTTGGGCCAACTACTGACGAGACTGCCTGCTCGCCCAACCACACCGACCCTCACCGAGTCACAGTACCGATTCACGCCATCGATCGGGCTCGGATGAATAAGGAGGGTACAGCGACGGATTGCCCAGTACTGATCCACGGGAAAATACAGGGAGCAGCAGTGAAGATTTTTATTGACGGAGGAGCAAGCCACAGTTTAGTTAATACCGCAACCGCACGAAAACTGCAACTGACACTTAGCCGTTGCTTACCGGAGATAGACGCACGCTTAGTTGACGGCACGCCGCTGGCCATACGGGAAAAGGTAGAGAGAGTCAAAGTCCGCTGCGGGGGGAATTTTGGGTTTACACAGAAAATGCTCGCAACAACACTGGATGGGCACGACATTTTACTGGGGCGCGATTGGCTGCGACGGTATAACCCGCGAATTGACTGGACGACGAGTAGCTGCACCGTGCGAAGTAGTGGTAACTGGGTCCAACTACCTCGCTGGCAGTCGCCCGAGTCTTCAACGGTGCACGTCAACGCCATCACAATGAAACGGGCTGTCGCTGCTGGAGCTGACGTGTACGCAGTAGATATCGCAGTAATGGAGGAAGCAGAGCAGCCGAGCGATTTCAAGAAACTGCTGGAAGCTGTACCGCCCGAATTACAGGAACTGTTGAAACGGTACCCCGGGATTTTCCCCGACGACTTACCGGAAGGGTTGCCACCTCAGCGAGCACATGATCAACGAATCGAATTAGAACCAGGGGCACAGCCAACCGTACAGCGCCAGTTCAGACTGACACAGCCCGAGCTCGACGAGCTAAGGAAGCAGTTAGATTACCTGTTAGAGAAAAAATTCATCCGACCAAGCTCGTCACCATTTGCCGCACCGATACTGTTCACGCCGAAGAAAGACGGGGGTTTTCGCATGTGTATCGACTACAGAGCACTGAACAGGGTAACCATCAAATCGCGATACCCCATTCCCCGCGCTGACGAACTGATCGACCAATTGCGAACAGCACGGGTGTTTTCGAAAATAGACTTACGGGGGGGTTACCATCAAATTCGAGTCGAACCATCGGACTGCGCCAAGACAGCATTTAGGACTAGATACGGGTCGTTCGAGTACACAGTGATGCCCTTCGGGCTGACCAACGCACCGGCGACTTTTCATATGACCATGAACGAGGCATTTAGGCCGCTCTTAGATAAATGCGTCATAGTTTACCTCGATGACATCCTCGTTTACAGTCAGGACAAGCAGCAGCACTTAGCGGATCTGGAAGCAGTTTTTCAAGTTTTAGACGAGCATCGCCTACTGACCAAAGGTTCCAAGTGCGAGTTCTTCCAGGATAGGTTAGAATTTTTGGGGCATGTTATTTCGGAGGCTGGCGTTGAAATCGACCCAAAGAAGCTGGATACGGTAAAAGCGTGGCGGCCCCCGACCAACATCACGGAGCTGCAGAGTTTTTTAGGGTTCGTTAATTATGTGCGTCGGTTCGTCCCCGACATGGCACAGCTGACTGCCCCGCTGACTGATTTACTGCGAAAGGAGGTCGCTTTTACGTGGGGGGAGAAAGAGCATGCTGCCTTCTCTGCCCTGAAAACTGTTCTCTGTTCACCGCCCGTCCTGCGCATCGCCGACCCACACCGCCCTTTCGAGGTTGTTACAGACGCAAGCGACATCGCCATTGGAGCCGTACTGCTACAGGACTTCGGCAACGGCCTACAGCCCATCGCATACGAGTCACGAAAACTGCATCCGCCCGAGCGAAATTACCCGATACACGACCGCGAAATGCTCGCGATCGTGCATGCGTTCAAAGTGTGGCGCTGCTACCTGACCGGCGCAGACGTGACAGTACGGACAGACCACCGATCACTACAGTACCTCCACGCACAGCCCCACCTCAACCCACGACAGATTCGTTGGCTCGATTTCCTCGAGTCAAACTTCCACTACACAGTCACCTATAAAAAAGGAGCCTCGAACATCGCCGACGCACTGACCCGCCCCACTGCCCAAATCCACGCGATACTACTCGCCCAGACCAGCCCGCTACTGACAGGACTATTTACCCACGGATATCAAACAGACCCATTCTTCACAGGAGGAAATTCGCAGCAGTTCGCAGCAGCCAAGGGAGTCTATTACGTAAAAGCCGGGACCGACCGCATCTGGGTACCAGGGTACACACTACTACGGGAATTACTATTACAGGAGGCACACGACGGGGTTACCTCAAGACATTTCGGGGTAGAAAAAACACGGCAGCAGCTGCAGCGGTATTATTACTGGCCCGAAATGTTGACCGACGTGCAGCGACACGTGGCATCGTGTCCCACTTGCCAGGTCATGAAGTCATCACGGAAGCAGCCGGCGGGACAGTTGCAGCCGATCCCACCCCCAGAGCGTGCTTGGCAGCAGGTGACGATGGACTTCGTCACGGGGTTACCGGCCGGGACGAGTGGGAATGACGCGATCCTGGTCGTCGTCGATCGACTGACGAAAATGGCACATTTCGCAGCCTGCAAAAAATCAATCACAGCCGAAGAAACAGCCCGCCTCTTCATCTCCACCGTCGTTCGACTGCACGGGATACCAGCATCAATCATCAGCGACAGAGACACGAAATTCACCAGCAACTTCTGGCGGAACCTGTGGCAGCAGTTCGGCACGCGACTACAGTTTAGTTCATCGTACCACCCCGAAACAGACGGACAGACAGAACGGACAAACCAGACCATGGAACAGCTCATCCGGGCCACGTGCGACGACCCAAACACGTGGGAACAGCAACTGCCGCTCATCGAATTCGCATATAACAACGCCCCATCCGCCACGACCCAACAGTCACCATTTTACCTGAACTACGGACAAGACCCAATAGTACCCATGACCCCGAACCCCGACAACCCGGTTCCACGTGCGCAACAGTTCGCCAAAATTTTGCAAGCAGCACGGGCCAGGGCAGCAGACGCAATTAAAAAAGCTAACATCATCGCTAAACGTAACGCCGACCGCCACCGCAGACCTGTCACTTACCAGCCCGACGACTTAGTTTTGCTCGACACCCAGAATCTCCGACTGCCCATCACCCCAAAACTCCGCCCCCAATACTGTGGGCCATTTCGCATAAGCTACATGCTCACACCCGTCACCGCCCACCTCCTCCTCCCTGCTGACTGGTACGTCAGCCCCTCGTTCCACGTCAGCCTGCTCCGCCCTTACGTCCCGTCCACGAGCCAACTGCCACGCAATCGCCCAGTCAGCATGACACGACCGCCAACCGAACCAATCATCACCCCCGAAAAAATCCTAAGCCACCGAGTTCGTGACCCTCGAGGAGCCCGAAGGATCGAATTCCTGATTCGCTGGAAAGACCGCACACCCACCGAAGATAATTGGGTTCCCCTGGACAGAATCGAAAACCACCCCGTCCTCACCGAGTATCTGCGCAGCCGAAACTTCAGGGATGTACACGCACTTTCGTAAGGAGGACCTCCTTAGGGAGGGGGTAGTGTAAGGAAAATCTCTTTTTCCTTACTTCGCATCCCTGCTCAACGCGTACATCACTGTAGCACCACAGTCAGCACCGTTACCACTCGCAATCCTCGCATCGACAATCCGCCCGCCACTTTCGCACGTCGCACCCCGACCTCACGGCTCGGCGGGTAACCCGCGCTCCGGGCCTCCGCTTCGACACTTTCCCCAACCTCAGTTCCAGGCCCGTCGCGCGACAACCACAGTCCATTACCGTTACCACTGTAGTTTCGCTATATATTCTTCGCCCATGCCTTCGCTCATTGTACTCTCGTTCGATCACTCAATTGCACTCGTAACACTACCCAACCATTGCGATGTCGAATAGAACCGCACAACGCGAACTTGCTACATGTGAATGTGGCTTGGGGCATCCGCCACTAGGCTTTCGTCCAACATTCAGTTCCGCAAATACCCTAGCTGAGCCCTAATGCAGTAGCCTCATAAACGAGTGCGTGGCTCCTAGTATTCTTGGGAGACGATCTGCATCTGCAATTCTTTCTCGATTGGTGCACTGAAGGGTGTGACGTCGTGCTGCGGCTCTGTTCAGCTTTTTAAACGATGCGTATTAGTTGAGGCGTTACGCCGGGCCTGGCGGAGTTCTTTTCTCCCTCGCCGTCATCGAGAAAGGCGTTTTAGCGATTGTTTTTTAGATCGATTGGCGTATCAGTCGAGGAGTTACGCCGGGCCTGGCGGAGTCTTTTTCTCCCTCGCCGTCATCGAGAAAGCCGCAACTAGTACACGTTCGCGTTTTAGATCCCTGCCGATTCTGCTTCCTCGGGTGCGAATTTGATGTATCAAATTGAGATAATTAGGGTTTCGTAGAGTCCAGCCGTGATTGCTACGTAAGGGATGGCGAAATCCGAGCTGGAATCGGGGGATTACGTAGAGTTAACAGAGGAGCGACTGGCAGTGGACAAATATGTCGATTTGGTGAGGGATCCCGGAGCTGGAGCCATCTCGACGTTCCTAGGGACTACGCGCGACTCGTTTGAAGACAAGATTGTGACCCGGCTCGAGTACGAGGCTTATAACGAGATGGCGATCAGGCAAGTGTATCCCCGTTGGCGGAGTCATTGGCCACTTCTCCCGCGCTTCCCCCTTGCCTTCCCCCACCTTCCCCCACCCACACCCCCACTCCCCAGCCCCCCCACCCCGCCTCTCTCCGCCTGCCACCTCTTCCTTTCCCTGTCTTCTCTCTCCACCCCCCTCGCTTTCTTCTCCGCACCTCCGTGCGCCCCCTCTTCCCGCTTCCGATGCTCCCTAGTCTCTAAAGTCCATCGACATTGCATTTCTGTACCGCACTCTTCTTCCCCCCTTTCCCGGCCCCTCCCACCCCCCGATTTCCCTATCTTTTCCAATCCAACCCCCACCCTTTCTCCCCCGCCTCCCCTTGTCCCTCTTTCCGCATCATCCGATGCGCCTCGATCCCTACAATATAGCAGTACTTCTTTCCGTACCTGACTCACCGTCCCCTCCTTTTGGCCTTTCACCCTCCCACCCCCTGTTGTTCCAATGTCTCTTTTCCCATTCTGTCCTCCAAATTTCAGTGTCCTGAAACATATCATCCAGTCAGCGCGTGCCACGTGGCAACTGAAGAAGGTCGCAATCGCTCACCGCTTGGGAGTGGTCCCTGTATCAGAGGCCAGCGTAATCATTGCTGTTTCCAGCGCTCACAGAAAAGAATCCCTCGCTGCAGTCACATTCCTTATTGACGAGCTGAAAGCGAAGGTGCCTATATGGAAGAAAGAGGTATATGCTGGACGTATAGGTGATCAAGTAAAGTCCGGTTAAGGTAGTGCAGGTGTCGAAGGTGGTGGTGGTGAGGGTATTGCACTTGGCGGAGGCAATAGTGGGGAGGAAGAAGCTGTTTGGAAGCAGAATGTAGAATTCGTTGTGTCTCATCCAGGAGGCTCCGAAGGTCATCAGTCAAGTTCTTGATACAGTGGCATGTGCAAAGCTTATGTGCCAGGGGTGATGGCTCTCGGGTTTAACAGGGTGATGAGTGGAGAATAGAATAGATTCTGTACATTTCAGGCAAAGCAATAAATCCAAGGTGAGTGGACCTTGGTACTAGACTCCCTCTAGGTAAGAAGAGGCTTCCTGCGAGGCCTCATACGACAGGTTATCCAAGGATTTCAGCACTTCAGCAGGAGATGAGGTATCCACGGGGTGATGCAGAGGCTTGTCAGGATCACGTCAGGAGCAGTCAGGTAGAAAGGAGCAAGAGCCGCAGTTCCCACATCAAAGGTACGTCAGAAAAGCGTCAGGAGACACGTCAGGGACACGTCAGGTTGTCATGGTTCCACCCGGAGGAGGCTCGCGCTTCGGGAATGCCACTGGAAACACGAAGCTTCATCTTCGTTGCAGCACCCGGCAAATAATCAGCACGCTAGTAGCAGTCGCGAAAGGTTATGATGTTGATGGTGAAACGTCGACTTCAGCGTCTTCAAATTTCAGGGAACGAAATAATCGTTTTGCCGCATCTGGCGACATTTTTCTCCGCTTCGCAAAAAGGTCGCTCAAGCCTGGTTTGGGCTTGGTCGGCGCGTTTGGACAGATGCTAGGCGGCGAAATTTTGAAGCGCTTCCCCGTCGGAGTGGCTTGAATCGCAGGGGAAGTACCTTCAGCGTCTGCGGAGGGAGAGAGGGGAAACAGAGAGCGATGGATGAGGCGCCGACGCAGGAATACAAAAACGAACAGGATTAAAGTCTTCCAGGGGTAGAAAAGGTTCCATCTGCGAACAACAAGCAATGATGCATTGGGAAGAGCGTCAGGCTCCAAATAGACTCTCCGGAAGTGTTAACGGCGGCATATATAGTACCCTGTCTTCTTTCCGTCGTGGAGGAAGAAGCGTCGTCCAAACTCTTTTCTGTCTCGGGAGATTCGTCACGCGATGGCGACGGTTGGCAGAGAACAGTACTAGGCGCCAACGACGCCAACGAAATTCGACACATCACACAGGCTAAGTGGTTAATGCACTGATTGAAGTGGTTAGAGGAGTCAGAGGATCCTTTATACTACGAAGCGCATTCATCCCGACTGGAAGCTCTAAATCTGATCAATAAGTTATTCACTGCTACAATGCCTCGGGAAAACGTACTACTACAAGCAAGGACATGTGCACGGATGGAAATCCTGTCTGTAGAATGAAGTGTGCGAAGTTTACTGTGGGTGAAACCTACATTTCCAAGCACCCATGGAGGTTCGGCCGTTGCGTTGCATCGAATGATTGTCCTTGCGGGTTGCACTGTCAAGCACGCTCTCGTGAAACACTTCGAGAGGCATCTGGCAAGAGATATGGTTGCATTGCAATTCACGGGGCAACGAACGATGACCAATGCATAAAGCCCCATTCAGAACATTCTTTTTCCTTGACCACGTCCCAGATAGCCAACAAGGCGAGTGTGGGTGAGGCTAGGAGATTTGGAGATTTGTATCGAAACAAACAAACCAGCCCAACAACCCTTGCAGCTACAGTACAGCACCCAAGGGGATTCTGCGGATGATGCAATGTCAACGGGCAATGTCAGCTCAGCAGCACGCCCCTTTGTTTTCCTCTTTCCTCGTTCCTTCTTGAAATCGTGGACTGTCCTTGTGGCACATGGGTCACTTAACGTTTTCGGTCGCCCTATCATTTCGGGGTGAGGAGGAGGTGACCCAGCTCAGTGGCACGCAGATCACTCTTGAAAAGCAGTTTTTTTGCTTCAGTCGGTGCGTGACTTGCGACCCACTCAACCACTTCGAGAACATAAGCTTCCAAATGTATTTTTCACCATGCACTTCCAAACACTCTCGTGCTTCTATATGCCACCAGGCCTAAAAAGGCGCAGGAGAAACTGCAAATGAATCTTTCTAGCTCAAATTAATCAGGGTAGCGGCGAAAAGAAGTATGGGAAATTTTTGAAAACTGTATTCTGGAAGCTCTCAAAATCGTTCCCGGATTTTCAAGGTGCAGTAGCAACGCCGCAAATGTGTTGTTATTGGGCACCCATCTGGTCCCCCCCAACAGTCTCATCATATATACTTTTGCACGTCATCTACGTGTCTGCTGATTGGCATGTCGTTTCGTTTTGGGACCTACACATGACATGATGCTCAGTCGAATCGCAGACATCTGCTCAGGCCAGACGCGACGCCGTCCCTTTCATGTTTGGTGACGGGCAAACGCCCATCATGTACACAGGAAGCGCGTTTGAATCCCACAACTTTTCCCGTCATTTTGTGTTTAGTGAGCAGCCTTATTTCGCTTCCTCGCCAACATTCGCCACGGGCAAAATCGGGACTGTAGTGGGCAGCTGAAGAAATGTAGCCAGCTTCTTCAAAATATCTCACGAACGGACGGATGCGATTGGCAGGGGCTTGTATCGTGCGTGCAACTGGCTGGTACTACTTGCAATTGGGCAGGCTGAAAGACAAATTTTGAGTGCAGTTGTTGAGCATCCTGTGTACAAGCCCTCGCGGCTCGGGAAGATTCGAAAAGTTGACAACGAGTGGTTAGGATGCTCCGACCTCCCACTTGTATCCCTGATTTAAGATGTACAACAAACGAAGCCACCCAGAACTGTAGCAGTAAAATTATCTGCGTAACAGTGGTGTTCTTTACAGTCCCTTTTTTGCCCTTGGCGAAACTGACGAAACGCTCGCGAATTAGATGCTCGCTTCACTCCACCTGGTGTCGAAAAAGATGGCGTGAGTGAAACGGGCATCATGTGTACGTGTCTCAGGCCGCTCTCTGAGCCATTCGATCTGGCAGACTGGCACCCTCATCCTCACCAATCGCTCCAAATCGAACCACTGGTTCGTTCCACCTTCCACCTTCTCCCACTTGCCTTACCCTTTCCCTATCTTGAATTTCGGATATTTTCTCATCAGGGTCTTCTCCGATTAGCCACAACCGTTGTTCTTATTTTCCTTGATTGTACTAAACATTCTCCCAGTAAGTTCTCGGTGGTGTGTTTGCGAGGACGAGCGGGAATGACATTCGTCGGCTTACTTTGGCGTGTCCCATTTTATATCGTAACACAGTGATGCATATTAGCCAGGTGATATGTTGTCGAGCACGTGATACTGTTTTGGCAGAACGATGTTAATCCTGTCGGCCAACTCGTTGATGTTTACTTTCAAAGATTGAGAACGTCCGTCTAGAAACTTGCAGCTCGCCGACTGGGAGATTCGTGGTGGTGGGGCTTAAAATCAGACAATGTCTTACTGTCCTCTTTTCTGGAGATAACCCCCCAGGATTATTCTGTGGGGACATTTGGGGGTGGAGGGGCATCTTCCCGAGGAAATAAAAAAGGACAAACAATAACATTCGTAAAGTGGGCTGGAGGTTGGAAATATCAATAATAATGAATCAGCTTTCTACGAGTTGACATTGTCAATGCAAGTGGCAGTCGTTCAGACCTTCTAGAACTTAACGTTCGCTTTTTAGCCTCACTGTACAAAACAACCCCTGCTACAGTGATTCCGTAGCCTATCATTCCTAGTAGGGTTACAGGGTTACGGAAGATAATGATCGAAACGACTACAGCAACTGCACCCTTGGCATTTCCAAGCACCTGACATCAAAGTGGAAGGGAAGGGTAACAATTGCAAGATAAATTGAAATTTGGTGCAGCATACTTTCTGTAAGCAGACAAAGTGGATAGAGAAGTATGTTTTTTTAGCTTTCATATCACACACATAAAAAGAAAACAGCGCAACTTGTACTATACACCAGAGGATGCTACTGAGAGACCAACAGCGACTAAACCGCAAGGACAAAAACCACAACCAACCGCGACAAACTGCAACGAAACAGACACAGTGTTATGGAGTATATCCGAACACAATGCTGCATACTGTAGTATACAAGTGAGGGTACCTGGAGAGAGTGAGGGTACCTTGACAGAGTGAGAGTACCTTGACAGAGTGAGAGTACCTTGACAGAGTGAGAGTACCTTGACAGAGTGAGAGTACCTGGAGAGTGAGAGCGCTCGTGTAACGGGTAATCAGAAAGTTGGTGAGATTTACGTAGAGGAGTTGACTAGCAGCAGAGGGATGATCCCCCAGTCTGCTGCATCCGCAGAGGAGTAAACTAACCGTATAAGAAGAGAGCGAGCGCACCTGGAGAGTAAGAGCACACCTGAAGAGAGATTGAGCGTACCTGCAGAGTGAGTGCGCTCGTGTAGCGGGTAACCAAAAAGTTGGTGAGATTCACGAAGAAGGCAGTAGAGGAGTTGACTAAGAGCAGAGGGACGATCCGCCAGTCTTCACGTGCTTTCTCGGCAGCAACGGCGAGGACGGTTGGCTCGATGATGAGAGTGGCGGGAAGGAGGAGGAGCACTGCAATGGGAGCCATGTAGAAGAGCAGGTTCATGGAGTTGAGCTGATGGCTGGAGGTGAGGAGAATGGGGAGGAAGGGACGAGGTAGAGGGAGAAGGGTGGGAGGAACGGTACAACTGTCATTATCTCATTAGCACCACCACCACTGGAATGGGAGCCATGTAGAAGAGCAGATTCATGGAGTTGAGCTGATGGCTGGTGGGGGGGAGGGGGAAAGGGGGGCCGGAAAGGGGGCGGGTGGGATGGGGAGGTGTGAGAGGAGAGTTGGCCACATGATGAGAGTGTCGGTGCGATGGGAGCCATGTCGAAGGGAAGGACGTTCATGGAATTGAGCTGATGGTTGGAAGGGGTGGGGGGAGGAAAGGGGGCGGGCGGGTGGGATGGAGGGGATGGGGAGGTGTGAGAGAAGAGTTGGCCACATGATGAGAGTGGCGGTGCGATGGGAGCCATGTCGAAGGGAAGGACGTTCATGGAATTGAGCTGATGGTTGGAAGGGGTGGGGGGAGGAAAGGGGGCGGGCGGGTGGGATGGAGGGGATGGGGAGGTGTGAGAGAAGAGTTG